ATGGATGAGGAGGAGGAGGAGGAGGAGGAGGAGGAGGAGGAGGAGGAGGGAGACCCCGAACAGTCCCGAAAGGCGTCCCCCCAGGAGAGGTCCCTTCCCCGAGAAAGGAGCTCCTCTCGAGGAGGAGGAGGAGGAGGAGGAGGAGGAGGAAGGGGAGGAGGAGAGTGAGAGGCAGAGGAGGAGTCCAGGAAGGGAGGAGCCCGAAGAGGGCTGCCCTGGGGGGGGGGCGCGCGGCGAGGCAGCGTCGCGAACGGCTTCGGCGTGCGCGCCTCCGACCTGGGAGCCGCGGGGGGTGCGTGGGTGGGGTGGGGGCAGAGGGGCGGGCGCACGCTCGCCGCTGTCCTCCTCTCCTGCCTCCCCTCCCTCCCTCCCTCCCTCCCTCCCCTCCCTCCTACCTCCTCCTCCTCCTCCTCCTCCTCCTCCTCCTCCTCCTCCTCCTCCCCTCCCTCCCTCCCTCCCTCCCTCCCTCCCTCCCTCCCTCCCCTCCCCTCCCCTACCCCTTCCCCCTCCTCCTCCTCCTCCTCTCCTCCTCCTCCTCCTCCTCCTCCCTCCTCTCTCCTCCCCCTCTCTCCCCTCCTCCTCCTCCCTCCTCCTCCTCCTCCTCCTCCTTCTCCTCCTCGTCCTCCTCCTCCTCCTCCTCCTCCTCCTCGCCGCCCAAGGTCCACTCGGATGGGCCCCCCCTGGGAGTTTGAGTTGTCAGTCTATCGGACTTCTCTCTTCCCCCCTTTCCCCCCGGTGGCGTGCGATCCTCCTCGCCGCCGCACCCAGGGGGGGGCGGGCGGCGGCCGCCCTGCTCGCTGGATCTCGGGGGCTCGAGGGCGGTGGCGGCGATGGTGGTTTTACGTCGGGCATGTCCCTCTACAGGAGGAGTACTCGAACACAGCTTTCAATTAGCATGGGGGCGATTTGTTGTTCTCTCTATGTTTGATCATTTTGTTGACTATTTCATATTTCGTCCCAAATCCGTCTGTACGAGGACGTGCCCGACTTAATGGTAGTTTGGGATGGACAGGCGTCCGCTAAACGGCGGCGAGCGAGAGGGGGAAGCGAGAAGGAGGAGGCCTTCTCAAAAGGCGGTGGGGCGGGCTTCTCAGTAGCCCTCTGGCCTTCTGAGTTTTTCTGGTTGTTGTGTTTCCATTGTTTTTTTTTTGCTGTTTTTTGGAAGGCTTTTAGCAAACGGCGGGAGGACTTCCGAGCCTTCTGAGAAGGCCCGCCCCCTCTCGCTGCCCCCCCCGGCGCCCCCCGGCTGGCCGCCGAACTACTCGACCCTCTTCGCAATGTAGGGCTGTCCAAAATCCGGATTGCAGGACACGCTTTGGATTCCTGGAAAGTCTGGGTAGTTAGGACGCGTTTTGGGTAGGTCTCGTGGCCCCTCGAAGGCTAATGCAAGCATTCCCGCCGGCCACGCCCCAAGCACGGCATCTACAAGTTTGATGGGTTGGGAAAACCGAGCTTTGAATTTTGAGTGAGTCTTGCAATTCCACTTTAAATACATGTTCGGTGGTTTCATGCCTGTACAAAGTATCCACCGAGTGCCCATGCCAAATGATGGTGGTGTTATGGTGGTGATGGTGGTGATGATGGTGGCGATCACGACGATAACGTCGAGGGTGATGGCGTACGATGGCGACGCCAAGTTCGGCGACGATGATGATGATGATGATGATGATGATGATGATGATGATGATGATGATGATGATGATGGTGATGATGATGATGATGATGATGATGATGATGAGCTGCTGATGATGATGACGATTGGTGGCGGGTGATTCATGCTCGATGGCTCTTGTTTGATGGTTGTGCATGGATGGGTGTCGGTTGATGGTTGGTGGTGATGGGTGTGGAGATGGGGGTGATGGTGGTGGTGGTTGCAAGTAGTAGAAAGCCTACCCTGATGCTGACAATGATGATGATGATGATGATGATGATGATGATGATGATGATGATGATGATGATGATGATGATGGTGATGGTGATGGTGATGGTGATGGTGGTGGTCGTGGATGCAGGGAGTATTATGGTCATGATAACGAGGGTGGCCCGAGGAAACCGAGGACACACACCAACGATGTACCGTCTCGTCTCATTCTCCTACAAGTCTTGTGCCTTCATATCATCTACAAAAAGTGACTCATTGAACGATGAGCAGTCTGTGTGCCTACAGTTCAGGCGAACGCTCTGATTTGAAACAAGAAAAGCCCTGCACGCTTCAAGCGATTTATGATGAATTCACAAAGCTAGGATCAGGCAGCGTAGCGGTGAGTCTAGCGAGAGCCACATTTTGAAAAGGAGCCATTCTCCTCATCTGTGCAACGAACGCACACCTTCACAAAGTTGTGGATCTCTTTATGGCGAAAGCCGCAGTTTTACAAGGGACAACCTTCCATCCGTGTAATTTTTGCAAGCTTTTCAGGCGAATATGCGTGGCGCGAACGCGGCATCCCAATTCTTGAAACTTCGCGTATCCCCACTTAGCCCGGGTTGACCTCTAACGCCG